ATCAAGAAATCAAGTGGTACGCGATTAATTACGTAAGTAAGCGAAAAAAACTTCATCTATAACATACAATTATAAATTAATCATTAAATAAATATTGGAAATTATTAAAACAATATCTTTTCGTCTCAAAGGATACGAATTAATGAAAAAAAAATGTAAGAAAAAAATAGAATATAAAAAAATTATAAAATGATTGAAAAAACGGTTAGTAATAATTGTCTATTATAATTCCAATAATTACAATCAATATTCATTGCTATCAATGACGACATAAATTTTGTGAAATTATTTAACGTTTTATTGCATAATATTATGTATAATGTATAATAAGTTTCGATATTTAACGATTCGATCGAATGAAGATTTATGGTGAAAGTAAAACATAAAATTATGAACAGGAAGTGAATTCTCAATGACAGTAAATAGTAGTAAATATTTGTAAATAAAAATTTAAATTTAAAAAAGTTCTGATCGTTGAAAAAATGAATGCATCTAAAATCATTTTACTATATAATTTCAAAAAATAGCAAACAATTATGTTATAATTTGATTTTTCAATAATTTTTTACTCAAAAGAATTTTAAGTATTTTTCGTATATATGTCAAATCTTTTAATTATTCAAAAATAAAATTAAACTAAAATGAAAAAACAAAAAAAGAATAAAATTAAAAAAAGAAAAAGAATAGGTTGATAAGAACGATTAAAGTAGAAAAATAATGCGCGATCTGGTCTTAAATTGATACAAATAATTAAGCAGATTATTTCATTCAAAAAGCAAGATTTCTTTCTGAAACATATTTTGTGATGCGAATCGTAATCGGTGATTTGATCAATTGTGTATTTTCATATAATTATAAAAATATGATCATTTAATTACATCATAATTACATTTTTATTAATTCTAATAATGTCACAAATAAAAATAATCAAACATAATGTTTCAATTTTTCTACAGATATTTATATAATGCGTCTTTTTATTGTATTCATGACGAAATCAAATTTCATTAAGAATGTATGTTTAGAAATAAATAAAATTTATGTAATTATTTACTTTTAATTAACAAAAAACATCAATATAAATATTGCATAAAAAATTCAAAAATAAAAAGCGCGGTAAAGAAATATAAGAATAGTTTTCTTGCAAGTAAATCGATGTTGAACTTTCTCCTTGATGAACTATCAAATGGCGTAAGAATTTGTTGAGTCTTATAATCATTGGTAGCTCGGTTAAAATTCGAACGAACAAAACGAGGACGCGGGATCAGAGAAAGGGTAAAAAAGTGAAGGGAAAGGAGGAAGAGGAGGAGTAAGAGTAGGAGTAGAAGTAACATTAGTATGTAGCAGCTGCAGTAACAACATAACGAGAACAAGAAGGAGGTTGAAAAGCAAAAAAAAAAGAAGTAAAAGGAAAAAGAGAAAGAGAGGGGGACTAAAAACACGAATCTATTCGTGAGGAAAGTGCTGTTCTGATACTCATCTGCTAGTTTTTTCATACATCGATGATGGCTAAATTAAAAGAAGAGGATTACGGATGTGCATTAAGCGAAGCTACGAAAACGATCGCTCGTTTTGAACTTCGTGAAGACGATGCTACTAGGGAAGAAGCATTAAGACAATTCAGACATTGGATCCAAAAGCATCCAAATATCAAGCATTGTAGAACAGATGCAGCCTTTCTTCTCAGATTTCTTAGAACCAAGAAATTCAGTGTGCCGATGGCAGAAGAAATGCTCGAACGATATCTGACTATTAGACAAATGTATCCAAACTGGTTTCAAAATCTTGACATTGAAGATAGAGACATCGAAGCTATAATAGATGCTGGTTATCTGATACCATTGATGGAACGTGATCGTCACGGTCGACGAGTGATTCTTTCTTGCGCTGGTAAGTAATATTCATTTCTAAGTTCCGTTCTAAATGTTAATTTCAAGTCCGAAATTATTTTTCTATTTTTTTTCCTTCTCTATCTCATTCACTTTTTCTTCTTTTATTTCTTCTCGTTACTAAATATATATTATATATTTCGTATGATAAATAGTATATTTTTTTCATAGGACGCTTTGATCCGTATAAATATACATCTGCTCAAATGGCTAGAGCTCACAGTCTCGTTGTGGAAGCTTTAATGGATGATGAAGAAAATCAAGTGCGTGGATATACACACATTAATGATGAATCTGGATTAACAATGGGTCATCTTAGTGCTTGGTCTCTAACGGATATTCGTAATATGTTACGATGTATCCAAAATAGTACACCCATGAGACATAAGGAAACGCATTTTGTTAATATTCCAACTTGTGCAATCAAGATTATCGAGTTTGGCATTTCTCTTCTCAACGATAAGTTAAAAAATCGAATTTTGGTATGTAAATATATTATATATAATTGAATTCTTTCAAGTTTATTAATTTTATTATATTTTTAATTAAGGTACATAAGAGTTTGGATGAATTAAAAAGTGTTATTGACCCAAGTATTTTACCCAAAGAATATGGAGGAGAAATTCCACTCTCTGAAATGATTGGTATACACATATTTAATTATTAATTTGATATTAATCATTTAATTAAAAGATGCGTTTCAGTATTAGTGTCAATTTCAATTCTGTTTTCCAGCCAATTTCAAAAAAACTTTGAAAGAACAAAGGAATCGAATAAAAGATCTCGATGACATGTATATTGAAATTTCATCAATGGATTGCCAATATGTTTCAAACGATGATTTATGTGGTATATCTGGTTTTTTCCGTAAATTAGAAGTTGATTGACAATTTTTTTTTCTCATCAAAAAATCATTCCCTTTTTCATTATTTCATGTTTTATCGAAACTTGAAGTTATTTATGCGCGCCTAGATAAATACTTTTTATTTTGTGTTCAACTCAAGAACTCTCCTGCCGGTGGTATTAGTTACCTATTGACCGTTTCAATTTACATACAATATAGCATTTGTAGTATATGACATATACTGTACATCCTTTAAAAAAATAATTTTATACATTTTCAATGCAGAAGTGGTAAAAATAATAAATATCGATGCATGAATCGAACAAGATGCACAAGTTGCAATTATGAAACAATGTATACTCAAAAAAATATATATCGAAAAAAAAGCATTTTACATTCGATTTCGAATGAAAATTTTTTTTACAATTATATAATATAACTTAACTTAAAGATTGAAATATTTCAGTGACACAATGTAACATATGTTAAAATATATATTGTATCAATACTCTGTTTCCCCTTGTTCCCTTTCATTTTATTTTTATTAAGCTTCGTTAACATTTACAAGCTCGCAATCGTACAGAATTTCTTTTAAAAATTCTGTACTCGCAGGCGCTGTGGTGTAGAGATTTCCTGTAATATACACAACGGTGCCATGACCGTTTTGAACTGTTCAATCATGTGAAATTGATAAATCTTCGATAAATAATGGAATAGTTTATAATTATAAATGTAACATATTATATAGCTTATGCTTACTTACCCAAAAAATTTTTTGCGTTATTATCGTATAAAATAACTTTACAATTGTTTCTATGTAATATTTTAAATCCTAAACATCGAAATCGCTCATCCGTTTTATAAAGAGTATTATTTTTTTGTAAATTTAAATGTGGTTGTCCACTAAATGGATTGATGAAATCTGCCCAATAACCCATTCTCCTTAATTTTGCGCAAATATCCGAAGCTGCTAATACAAACTATAAATAAAAGGAAAAACATACTTTGCCAAACATATGAAATGAGCGACAGTTTATGATTAAAATATACACCATATTCTTTACATTTTACATACTCACATATTTCGCTAATTTCTCAGTTTCTATTTCTTTGTTCCATTTCATAACTTTAAAATTAATTGATTGACTGATAGTAATTATAGTAAGTTGTGGAGAACCAACATCTAAACATCCAGGAAATAATTCTTCTATACCTTTTCTCAATAGTAAAGGACATTCTTGTGCAACACAATGAAGCATTGAATGTTGAGTCCCTTTCAAACGATTTGGTCGAGGAACAGATTTTTCTTTAGAATCATCTATCGATATCTGTTTATCATTGTTATGAAAGTCAACTAATTGCGTTCTAACTTGAATAGTTGTGGTTACATCTGACCAACCAGGCCCAATGCTTCCCGGTAAATAAAATCTGAATCCTCTAGGTGTTAAAAGCTCCCAATTAGAATTTATTCCAAGCATAGCACCATCTACATCTAAAAAGAATAACAATAAATATAAAAAGCTAATTTTTTAAAATAAATAAATTTAAATTAACGATAATATTTACCATTCAAGTTTTCACTATTTGCTTGAACGATTTTGTATGAGTTTGTGCTTTTATTGCTACGTCGAGAATAGCAACCCTTTGATAATATATTAAACAGAATTGTGGTATTATTTTTCTTGACATATTTTACACAAAGCATCTGAAAAAAATGACATCATGTAGGTTATGTTTTATATATTCTTCTTTATATATGAATAATCAGTAAATAATTGCTATTGAATCGCTTACAACTGAGCTGCAATTAAATTAGTTTCATGGAAAGAATATAAACGTTACTGTTAAGTCACGATTCACATGCTGAATTAAAAATTTCTTTTTCCAAGATATCGTTTTATGATTCGATTATCTAACCTTACGTAGAAAATCAGTCGTTTTGATCACTCGTATCCAACTATGCAATGATATCAAGCGCAATATTCTTCGCGCATCAATCAGATTTAACGAAAAGAAATAGACATTTCATCACTAGATGGCATAATACGTTACGTTCATCTTTTTTAATTTTAACCATAGATCAGATATAGGAGTCCTATAGGAGATAGAATCTTTATATATAAGACTCTTATATTTAGTTTGTAATAGGATTTCTATATCTAATCTGTGACGATAGATTGCTCAAACAAGGTTTCTTACCTACAATCAACATAGTAACTTATCAATGTTAAAAATACAGATTCGACTATTACCGGTTGTGCATAATATACGTTATTGAATTCCTACATGAAAAAAGGAATTGAACTTCTTCATATTCAATGTACTGATTTAAAAGTCAATATAATGTTAACAGTATCATTAATTTCATCTAAACGTGTGTGATCAAGTTAATTAAAAATAAAGTGTAAATAAACAACAAAATTCTTTGAAATATTTTAAGAGAATACGGATATTTGAATCGCTTTGATAACTCTACATTGTCGTTTTTAACCTAAATCGAGATGGCTGAATCAGAACAAGATTTCGGAGATCGTGGAGATAATGACAATTTAAAAACTGATAAATTATTTATCTTAAAAAAATGGAATGCTGTAGCTATGTGGAGTTGGGATGTGGAATGTGATACTTGTGCAATTTGTCGAGTTCAAGTAATGGGTAAGTTGCATATACATATATAAACATACATAAATATATAAACTTATAGGTTAGATTGTATTTTGTTCATTACACATTTTTAAAGCATTTTAAAAATCGAAATGATATTGATTAATATATGCAGTATTAATAATATGCTATTAATTTTTTTTATAATTAAATTTGTTATTTTATATTTATTTGTTAATGTACACTTATGATAAGATATATAATAAATATTGTACATATATAATGCAAAATAATGAATACATTATAAATAAGAAAATAAAATTAACAATAAAAATTCAAAAGGAAAAAGGAAAAGAAGAATATTCTATTAAATGTTGTACTTCAATAATTTAGAAATTTACATGTAAATTTATCATAAATATTATTAATAGCAATAATAGTGTTTAGTAATAACAATAATAATATATATAATATATATATATATATAATAATATATATATAATATATATATATATATATATAAAATATATATAGTTATAAATTTTGTATCGAGTAAGCTTCTTCTTTAAAGTTTGGCAAGCACCTTACGCCCAAACAACACACAATAAAAATATTCGTCAAATAAATAGAAATGACGATAAAAAATTAAAGTATAAAATTAAATGTCATTATATGGCAAAAAAAGGTAATTAGCATATGAAACAAAATTTCTTCGATGGAACACATTACTCTCAATATAATATCAATTGAAAATTGTATGTGAATTTGCAAAATAGGAATATTTCGACATTTTTTCTTCTTGTCTTGCTCTAATTTTAAGATTCGGAATGATATAAAGGCAGTTTTATTAACATCGAGAACAATATGCATTTGCGAAAAAAAGAAAAAAAGGTGAAATAATAGGATTAAAGAATGAATAGTAATATACAAATATATGAGATGAATCAGAATGAGATGCGATGATCGAAATTCAATCTGGATATATTATCGGAAATTAGAATAAAAACTAAAAATTAAAAGCGCACGTTTGTAAAAGACAATTACGTATAGAAATACATATTAAAGATTTACGAAAAAATCATTTCTTAAAGTATATACAGCTCATATATAAGAGATTCGATGAATCGTGCGCGATCATGCATATGTTCTCTTCGTTTGTTGATCATATTTTTTTTTTTTTTTTTTAAATTAGTTACATTAATTTTGGTAATGGAAAAATAAACGCAATTATTTTTATCTCTATTTCTTAATTATATGTATATCTTATGATTTAATTCGTTGATAAATGATGCAGTTGTTCATTGACGTAAATCGGTAACTGTATAAATGCGACGGTTACATCCATAAAGATGCATAAGAATTATACATATATACGACCGTCACATTAGAATTTTATTGTCGCTGCTATATAAAAGGAAGAAATTCGTTTTTTTCCTTTAAATGCTGGTTATACGTATTTTTTTAAGTACAACATATCAGCATATATATCAGCAAATTAATGCACACAAGTTATGTGTACTAATTAAATAATTCATACTTGCTGTTAACCTACTCGTATACCTTTAATAAAAGTACTAATTTGAGGTAGACCCTAAAACGAAAGAAGAAAAGTAACAGTTACGTATAATATCTAATCAACGGATCATTTTCTTTGTTGAGCTTGCATTCGCGATTATATCGCTAAATGTTCGGCTAATTATAAATAAATATAGTTCATAAGTACAGAAAATTGAATATCTGAAACTCTCTTTATTGTTCTCTGATCTATTGTTCTATTATTTTTTTTTTTTTTTTTGTTATGTTTTCTCCAATTCTTTTTATTTGATTTATCACGTTTTTTGTTTTAATTTTTTTTTCAATAAGATAAGACACAACAATATAAATTTTGGCGATCAAAAACTTATTGCTATGATCAATCATTATGCATGTGAAGATCAATGTAATTGTAATAAAGAGAGAATCAGAGAAAAAGAACTTAACAGAGAATAATTGCGCGCATTTGAATTTAAATTTAAAAAAAAAAGAAAAGAAAGACGATCCGGAAGACTATTATTAAATCTGTTCGTTCTGATCGACAGAATGAACTATAATACATATTCGTTTGTTTGATAAAACGAAAGGCAATTGATCATCGATCGAACAGATTGATTAACTAATTATCAAAAAGAAAAGATATAAAGCAAGAAAATGATAGGAACGATTAACCAGCATTAAATGGTTATTGGCATCGGTTTTAAATTGGCGATCGCACTCGTTCTTCTCACCGGTCCAGCGAATCTTCTTTCGATTTCTTCGAGAGATCGTCCTCGTGTTTCTGGTACGCAAATAATTACAAAAATGAATGCTATTGCTACGAGCGTACCGAACAGCCAAAAGGTTCCATATGGGCCGATATGGGAAACTAAATCTTCGTAAGTTTTCGTAACGACGAATGTGCAGGACCAATTGAAAGCCGTTGCAACACTGGCAGCCGTACCGCGTATCTTAACTGGTAAGATCTCGCCCATCATTAACCATGGGATCGGACCAAAACCAAATGAGAACCCGATCACATAAACAATCAGACTCATTAATGGAACCCAACCAAATGCAGTAACATCCATTAATTCTTTCACATAAAAAAAAGTGCCGAACGTGAATAAAGTTATACACATCAATATACTACTTATATAGAGCAACATTTTTCGGCCCAGTCTATCTATGATCATTGCTGCAACGAACGTTGAAATGAAATTTACGAGACCTACGATGATGGTGGAAAGATTTTCGTCTATAGTACTTCCAGCGTCCTGAAGAAAATATAATCGAAAAAATTCGAAAATTAAACTTTAATCATCATTAATTTTGCACAAATAGATATGGTGAAAATTATAGAATGCGATATACCTTGAAAATTTGAACTGTGTAAAATATGACCGCATTGATTCCTGAAAACTGTTGAAAGAACATTAGGCCAAGCGAAATAAAAACCGGTTTTATATGATTTTTCCTGAAAAGTTCTATGAAAGCACCCTCTGTAGCGATACGTTCACTTTCGATATGCATTTTTTGAATGGAATCTAATTCTTCGCTAATATCGGCAGTCTTGCCCCGCAACCATTGCAACGATTTTCGTGCTTCTTTTATTTTCCCTTTCGAAATGTACCATCTTGGCGTTTCAGGAATTAGGAACATCAGGATCAAAAATAGTATCGGTATACAGGCACCTAGTAATGCAAGATTTCGCCAAGCTAGATACATTCCAGCTGTGAAGCAGATTAAGATTCCTGAAGAGACCGAAGAAAAGAAAGAAAAGAAAACTTATTAAGTTTTGTTTGACATGGATAATGATTGATATAAAACACAATTCGAAAAACTTACCTGTATTACCAAAAACGGTTGGTAAGAGACCAAGTGAGCCACGTACTTCTGGTTGTATAGATTCTCCAAGATAAACTGGCAAAGAAAGAGAAGCAATACCGACGCAGAAACCGCATATACTGCGCCCAATCAATATCATCGCAACATTTGTTGCTAGTGCGATAAATAACCAGCCTGAAAGATAATTGATATTGAATTTATTCCGCAATCTAGAATTGTCATGCATATTATCATGAACAGAATGAATAAAGCACATCATTCGTTGTATAATTATAATAAAAATGCGAATAATACCTGCAAGAAACGGTAAGGCAGTGCTCAGAATAGTGTTTCTTCTACCAATATATTCAATACATGGACCACCGATTATACCTCCAATAAGTGCGCTCAGTGGCATGATCGATCCTATCCACATAGCCTGGAACGAAAATTTCACATGATCACTTCTCATTTTGTTTTAAAATTTCGAGCTACGATTCTCTTGTTAAAAATATATAAGCAAATTATATCTTCCTGCTTTTGATGTTCAAAGATTAGTTATTTTGGATTATGCGCTGATCTTAAATACAATTTTACATCTGAAGAATAAAGAAAATATAAAGGAAAAAGGAAGATAGAAAAGAAAAAAAGAAAGGAAGGAAGCAAGCAAGCAAGAAAGAAAAAAAGGAAATGTTAATATGCTTATACAGACCTCGATTTTTGTAAGTTGGAATTGGTAGGGAAGACGAGGGACATTGACTTGAATCCAGAAGTAGGTACTTGTACAAAGATCTGTTCCTGTCGAGTAAATCTCCAGGTGGCATATCGTCAAATAATTGAAGGTTATGGTAAATCGCGATTAATCGCGATAAATTGTGGTAAAAAAAACTCGTGTCGTAACAATGTACGGATATAGTAGCATCGATCATGAACAAACCAATTACCAATCGAGGTTGGACAAGACACGTCGATGGCATGGCTATTAACAACCGGGGTCGAATGAAAAACGTGTTTCGAATCTATATCGCATTGACGCACTCGATGGGTTAAAGACTTAATCATTTATTGACCCTTCCTTTATATTACCGATTTGACAATGCATCGCGTAATGCGTTGTTATTTGAATGTAAATATGCGAATCGATCGCAAGAATTTACGGTGAATCGGTCGTTCGAGGAGGAAGTCTCGCGTAATCGGAATACGTTTGAAAACAAACGTGCCTTGTTACGAATTGTTTGACCTTCGGTTGGTTTTCGGTTTTGATAAGAAGAGAATCCAGATAATATTGTCTTTCGTTTCACCGAAATGCTCAAGATTATCCGACATTCTTACGAAGCACGTTTGTTTGAAAATAATTTTATCCACGATAGAGAAAAACGATCTTTTTTTCTTTTTACATATCCACTTTTACACTTTTCTACTTACCATATCCATAGTTACTTCGAATGTGGCTGTCGTATTATCTCGCATCGAAACTAAAGCAGGGGATGTGTAGGAAGTGGAGTAACCGATCATCAAAGAGGCCATTGACACCGCTAGAGCAGCTAACAGCTAAGAATATTAAACAATAAAAAAAAATGAATTTACGAAATTATACGAAAAAATTTGAGCAAAATCAAATTGAAAAATTGGTATTTCCATTAGAATTTAAATATTTATCATAAACGGTTAAAATTCGAGAAATCATGATACTCGTGATATTTATCAAGCGAAGTCAATTAAATGATATCTGGTAAAAATCTCGACCGATATTCAATACGAAACGAAGGTCGAACAGTGGTAATATACAATAATAAAAAGAATGAATGAAGGACGAAAAGAAGAGAGTGATTATACACTTCAGATCATATGAATAAAATGAAGCATCAATTTCTATATAAAGTACACAATGCCGTTGTCGATACCTGAGAAGGGGTGCATTTAGCAACTGGCGCGTTGCCCGGTAATTCGATGTCCACATGAGTATCAGCTCGCATAAAAATCTTCATGATCGATAAGAATATAGGAACAAGATGAAAATTGATCGAAGAAGAGATATAGAAATAACAAGCGAAAGCTTCACGTTAGCGTAACGTCAAGGAGATGAAAAACAATTCTACGATCGTAGCACGATTTTCGCCTATGCGTTAACCGCTCGATTTTTGTTCGAATCACGATATGTATAACGAACCAAACGAATACACCATTCGAACGCGCGTGCGCACCGATCAATATCGATTTAATTTTATTTGATACACCAAATCGTTTCTTAATTAGAAGTTTTTCGATTTCAATACGCGTATTTATCGATTATTTGCTTTCACCGTATTGTCGTTAATTTCGCGTCCTTCTTATATCAAATGTTATCTCTGTTGCTACAATTGCTGTTGTTATTATTCTTTTTCTTCTTTTTCTTGCTGGTATCAATTTTGATGATATTACTGTCAATATCGTTATTTTCGTTGTCAACGTTGTCGTTGTTATTGTCGTGATTTTGTCGCCAATTGGTTTTGTTAACGTTAACAACGTTCCCGTAAGATTAAAACGCTATTGCCACTTGTGGACCGACGGGTGGTTCCCTGTTTATATAGGGAAACGATGCTGGGGGGCCGCGACTATCCCTTCTCTTGTCATTGCGAAGATCCATCGTCCGCGAATCGGACGATTATACGTATATATGCGCATGGCTTTGCGTACGCGGGATTCTACGCGTAAACGTAATTTGTACCATTACTTTTGCTTTATCGACACATGGTATTAATTTCGAGAGATCGTTTAATACAAAAAGAAATAAGGAAGAGATTGGATGAAAAGAGTTATCGGGAGAAAAACTTTTTCCTTTCAAATTTGATTAGAAACAAATCATATTTTTTCATATTCGAACTGCAATCGAAAAAAATATTTAAAATCTCTGTATTTTCGAAAAGTAGTCGTTTGTCTTCGCGACAGAATCGCGTTGTTATATGAGCAACCGATCTTACCGCTCGCGACCTTCTTTCGCGTTGCGTAATGTTCTGTTGAAGCATGATACGCATTGCTCTTCTTTTTCTTATTCGTGATCAACACTGCCATGTTTCATTTCGTTTCGTTATTTTCCGTTTCGCAAACTTAAAAAGATGAACTCGTTATGCTTTTTTCTACGATTGACACGATAGAGAATGTATAATATATTATAAATTTTGTAATTTTGAATATATCATTTCTTCGCTGCAATGATAATATATAAAATAAAAATCATGATTTTAAAGAAAACTAATCTAAATCTTTCTTCATAATAACATATAAAAATAATAGTTTTAATTTAAAACTATTTGAAAAATTCTTTATTAAATTTATTTTAAATTTATTTTAAATTATAACATTCTAAAACGTAAAAAGCTATAAGTTTTGAATTATATGATTATTTCAACAAATTGAAGTACACAATTGAACGGCACATTTGTAAACTTCAACTTGAACTTGCCACCCCTATATCCATTCGCATTCATGTTTGACGATAGAAATTATCATTAAAAGAATCGAAGAAAAATCAATGATCAAATTCGTGATTATATCTATCATTCAATTTTAACTCTTTTGTGTCATTTATCATTATTAATTGTTTAATATGGTTCACAAACATCTCGAGTATATACGTCAATGATGTACGTGGAAGAAAATTAAGTCGTTAGTTATTATCAGAAGCGTATACAAGGTCAGTATAGTTGAGTACAAATGTATATGCATGCATGCAATGCATACATTCGTCTTTTGTTTTTTTGCAATTGTTTCTTTCGATGGATCGACCACGAAACATGCGAGAGATCAACATTTCCATTCTTCGTTTTTGCACCTGCTCCATTTTTACTTTTGCATTCTTCTTCACTCACATGTCCTTTTCCCGTAGATAGATATATTTTTTGTAATCTCATCTCATATTTTCCTCATTTATTCTTCAGCCCTAAATTTGGTAATTTAGATTACCAATTTATATTTATATTATCTGACAATGAACATCGACTCAGACAAATATTGTCACATGTAATCAGATAAGAATATTTATACATATATCGCTTAGCGTATCCATTTTAATTTCAATCCAATCAATGCAAGCTAATTTATGCTCGTTCAGATGCGTTATCAAATAACTTATTATGATGAACTTTCTTGGAGAAAATCAAATTCATATAGCGTATTAGATGTTTTGTTCAATCGACAAATATCTATCATTACTATCAATAACAATGTTTCGTTGAATAGAATCTGTCTGACAACAGATTAGCATATATGATATATACTACTGTCGAGTATTCAATATATATATATATATATATATATATATTCATATTATGTGCTATTTCTTCTTGTATTATAATTATATTACTTAATACTTTAACAATTTTCAAATTTTTTTAATCAATTTGCCGATTAATTTTAGCTCTTCATTAATGTTAATGAATTTGAAATAAATTGTAAAAAGTATTATTTTAAGTAACTTTTTCTTTTATGCATAATCATCAATTTCAGATTATTCACAAAAAATTCTCTTTATATTATACTATTGAATTCTGTCTTTGTGATAGTACATGTGCTAGTATGGGATCGCTTCTTCAACATAATATTGTGATATACAAATATCTTTATACTCATCCAAGTTTGGAATAGATCCGTGGAATGTGAAAATAAAATATAAAATAATCTTTAAAAAATTGATATTACAATGACCAAAAATTCTTATTGTATATACGAATGTTAATATATTCGAACATTATTAAAGGATCGATTCTAGAGACCAAAACAAGAATTGATACGAAAATGTCGATTGAGGTGATTGTTATTAACTTATAAGTAATTTAAATTTTCGTTAGATAAAGTGAGGCAGAAAGAGAGCAACATAGCAAGATATAATGAAGATAGAAAATATGAATGTTTCGAAGAATTAGAATTCTAAAATTCAAAAAATATCTCATAAATATATGTATTAATATCTTGTATATAATCATGTCATAAAGAAAATATCTTAAAAATTTTAATAATTTTAAAAAAAGATTATTTTCAAGAAAGTAAATTTTCGATGAATTTACTCATTTTATGTATTAATATATTATTATCTGCTTTTAAATAATTGCTGATTATATCACGAATGCACGTATATAAGCAAGATTCAACGATAATATTATAAAAATTTTTTAAAAATAACTTGAAATCTAAAACTTCCTATATATAAAAAGTTCAAAATGAAAGTTCATTAAAATCATTTTTTTTTTACAATATATTTCAAATTCATTAAAATCAATGAGAATGGAAGCAATCAGCAAGTTGGCTTATTATAAAATTAACATAATATTTTATATTATTTTTGATATAATATTATATATTATTATTAATATGATTATTATATAATAATTATATTATTTTTGATTATTATAAATATTATAAATAAAAATTATAATAAATTTTTATTTTGTCAGCTTCTCATTATTCAAAATTCACATAATTTCAAAAGAGAAATCATAAATGAAAAAAAATATAATAAAAATATAAAAAACAATGACATAATAACAATTTAATCACATTCTAATCAAACATCTTAAAATAAAATCAGATTCTAACTCTAAGAGATGATCTTGTATGCGTATATGTGCTATTGTATAGCATATAATATACTTGACAAGTATCTTATGTTATTGGAATCGAATAGTATAAATACTATCGTCATGTCCGAGTCGCACTATTTAATATCGAATTCGAACGGATAATATATATAAACATAACTTCAGTTTGCTTTTAGTTGGGCATTGTTCAGTTGCAACTGAAGATATTAACTATGAAGATGCGATTAAAATGAAATTTTGTGATAAATAATAAAAGCATTGTGAACTACGTTTAATCACTGCTTTGAACATATTGAGTTTTGTAAGATACTCAAGTATGAACTGAAAACTTATCTATCTTTTAAAATCGATCAATCTTTTAAGATCGCACTTTTTTTTATATGCTTTCATAATGTTATATCATTGAAGATGTTATTGTCGCGCATTGTTGTTTGCGTAACGATAATAAATACATGTACATACATGTGCACACGCGCACAACATGGATGTCGTAAAGGCGAAGATCACGCTGCCCTCAAGTTTAGCTCAAACGACAGGGCGGAGAGGCACGCATGGCATTCGATTCATGCGAGAAAGAAAAGCATCGAGGGCAAGAAGCTTCGGGATCTGCCGCATCGCGCAATCATCGCGCAAGATTCCCTTGAATCACGAAACTTTCGACTTTATCGATGACAATGACAATTATCGATAATACCATTTCCAATTCCAAATATTCAAATATTTCATTTCGAATTTTGATTCTCGCAAAATGAATCAGAAAAAAAAATAGATTAAATACTTAAGATGTTTTCTCGGATTATCCTTGAAACTTTTACACGAACAAAAACGAACGAAGTGTAACTTTGTTTTTTCACTTGAATTGAAAAATATGAACGCGATTTCACAGTATTGCTCGTGATATTTTTTTTGTATGCATATACGATTGATTATATATAATATAATCAACGAAATGAGTAGAAAAAAAGAAAATGAATTACCTGCATAGTATAGCGCATAGGTGATCGTTTTACTTCTTTGAACTGTGTATGCAAAACATCGTCCGAATCCTTGGCCGGTTTTATATTTTGTGAACTCATGGTTTGCTTGGTGTTTTCGACCCCCATATACGGAGGTTCGCCGACCAATAATGGATCGATTTGTTTATAATCGTGATCAGAACCCTTGTCAAGAGGGTCGTATATGTGGGACCCGTTTAGAGTCTTCTGATGATTGTTCCTCAAGTTCTGTGCATAGTAATGGTTAGCAATGACAATATTGCCAGAAGGAATCACTTTTTTCTCCGCGATTAGGGCTGTTTGACTGTTGAACGGACTCGCAATTGTTGCGAGTGTCGTATTCGATGAACAATCTAGATTGATGCCTGAACTGTTCGTCGACGATCTTGCGACCGAAGGCACTCTCGTATAGTATTTTGGTAGAACAGTTCGTTCCTGAAAACAGACAAAATTAACCTTATCAATTTTTTCTTCTTGGTATCTTATTTTATCATTTTTGTTTTTTCTCTTTTCGTTTCAATTACTCATTCCCGCTCGAGTTCGCTTTCCATAATGCGCAAGTAAACTTTCAATACAAGGCAATTCGATATCTTAAATAATTATAAAAATTTATTCAACTGAATCAATAAATATTAAACTTATTTATGTTATTCGATTAACATATTCTTTCTTTTTCTTTTTTTTCATAGAAACACACACTGGGCACTCGTGATCAAAATTACCAGAACTTTTTCATAGATAATTATCGTTTATTGCAATAGATGTAAAAAAAAAATACCTGAAAATATATATAGCGTTTATTTAATTAATTAATATATTTATTATTTAACTAACACAGCAGATACCTAATCTATAGTAATCCAATGTTCGCCGGGAAACGGTCAACTATGTTAAGGGGATGAAATTTCAAAGTTGGAATATTTATACTAGATTCGTTATCGAGAATTGTGCCAAAAGAGGAGGAGACACATACCGATTATCGTTCTGAACCAATGACAGAAAGCGATGAACGAGAAACAGCGTGATTCTTACTCGACGATTAGATGACTTTTACCCCTGTGATTACCGATAACCTCTGTTGAACTTCATGACCAAATCGTGAGCTCTTTGCTTTTGCGAATGTTATGCTCGTGCACAACGCATCTTGACATATATGATACATAAAAAGTTCGTGAAATTTGCTTTTTATTTTGTGATGTTGACAACACTGTAATTATTTTTTCAATTGGACCATACTACTGATAGTGTATTTTATTATTAGTTCATATTTCACAATTATATGACTTATAGTTCTTATGCAGCGACAATTTTAATAGACTTCTTCCTAACCGTCGTCGCAAATGAAACAGAATGTTTCACAATCTTTTGAAAAAAATAACATGTTGATTCATTGCATTTTCAAAAGTTGCAAGACATTTTGTTTCATTTGTGATGATGAGACACAATGTTTATTAAAACTGTATAGAACTACAATACAATTATGAAATTTGAACTAATAGTAGAAAATGATATTAATTATTAATAATAGTCTAATAAAAAAAAATTATTGCAGTGTTATGCAGTATCAATATAATAAATAATATTTCACGAACTCTATTTACACTTCTGTATATGAAGTGTATATAAATCCTAATAAATCGATTTAATTTTATCGATTTATAGAAATCTTCGAATATCTCACTCAAAAATTAAATGTTGATCAAACGTGTATTGCACATTCACTGAAATATTAGTGATTCCCTATTGTTAAAAAATTTAAAATTTATATATGACAATGTACAACATCGCGTGGCCAATTAAATTTGCAAATAATCATTTCAGCATTCTATTCTAATAATAGCGATTGTTTCTATGCGAACGTTTTATTCTTTAATAACGATATATTTTCTATTTTTAACAACTATTTATTTTCCTTCATTTTGCACCCTTTCATTGTTTTTTTTTTTTGTTTTCTTATTAATTCAATATTCGTAGCATTTCTCAATTGTATATTGATATCAAAAATCTATTGTCGATATACAAAACAAGTTAAATATAAAATAAGCTAGTTAATAGTTTTGCTGTTTTATTTACATTTTAAAAACGATGATTTTGTTGTTTGTTTTGTCCTATCGCATTTTTTTTGAACTCAATAACCGATCATATAGCTGATACGGATACGACTCGTTAATGATGTATAACTACACGTCATCTTCTTTAGTTATTAAGAAAACAATGGAAACATCTTTTCCATGATATCGTTGGTGCACAATGTATATCATGCGAATGATCTTTGACTCTTACGTTCATAATACATAGATTCAACAAGAAGCGTTGGAATATAAAAAGTCAAAAAACGCGCATTTGCATCTACTTTGTTTTGCGGTTGGCGCTAGTTTCAATTTCGTCGAATTCTTGTGGCGCTATCTCTCGTGAATGTTTAATACCGATAACCGACAGAAGAGAATCGTATATTTGAATCGCAAGTTATACGGTGTGTTAGTCATTATCGTTATATTCATATACCGACAAATCAACTTTATCCTTTGAGTTTTGATACGATTATTCATATGTTTTCCATTTTTCTTATTTCGAACAATGAGAAAATGATAAAATTATGTTTTTAAGTATTTAAATATTTAAATATGTTTACTTTTAATTCAATACTAGTAAGTTAATCGAGATTGTTAAACTCTATATTTTATTAAAATTTAATTTACACGAGCAATTTTTATTAACTCAATTCGATTGACTATCCAAAAATTTATTTAATGTAAATGTTTAAAATTAATTTCTTTTCGGTTACAAAATAAACAATCACGAAAAATTTTACGTATCAACTTTTACTAATAACTTTATTTTAATTGTTATCACCATAAATTAGAGAATATGTAAGCTTGATCAAAGTTTATATTATAATAATTATAGTTAAAATTGCTATATTCCTAATTTCCGAGATATCAATAAAAATTGTTACTATATTGATTTTGCCTGTAGATATATAGTATGTGCATCAGTATACGATCGCTTTTATCTTTCCTGTTTTTATAAACACATCGTGGTTGGTACCTAAAATGTATAACAAAGAACTGTGACTTCATATTTATCTAAAGAATTTGAGACCTTTTGAATCAATGGAACACAACAAAATAATCTTTTGGCGACCGAAATTACAATGATTAAAATTATAATGATGAAATACTAAGCATGAAGCAAATATTGCTTATATTATATTATTATATTATTGCTTATATATATTATCATAATTTTGATCATTATAATTTCGGTCCTAAAGATTTATATTTTATTTCTGCATTTCTTAAATTCAAAAAATTTCAAATTCTCTATAATTAGATACTATAGTTACTTATACATTTTAGATGCCGAGTACAATTATTTACTGTTTATGTGTTTACATAAACAGTAAATAATTCCATAATAATGCATATATTCTCATGGACGCATAAGTAAAATTTAATGTAATAATAGTAACAACTTTATATATCTTAAAAATTATAAATTTGCAATAATTCAGAACAAATATTATAATTCTTAAGATATAAGATTTCAATCATGATCAACATTGTCATGATATAATGTCATGATAATAAAAAATAAAAATAAAAATACTAAAGTATTCAGTATTTAGAAATTATTTCAATATATATTCATTCTGTAAAATTATCTATTTCTCACATGATATCATTTATTTAAAGTTTTCAATACATTGAAACATATGACAGGATAGATTATAAAATAAAAATTAATGCATAGAAATTTCAAATTATTGAAAATAACGTCAAAATATAAATATTAAACATATGCATTCAAAGTATCTACTTTTCTGTTTGAGGATATTCAGAATTAAATTTGCCATCCTATTTCCAGAACATGTGTTGTTCATACATCCAACACAAATTTTTATCGTTTCATTTGCGTAGTCTAAATCGAACGACGGTACTATTTTCGTTCCTCCCGAACATTGCTGAAGGAAGACGCAGCTTTTCGTTATTCGTCTGCCTCTCGAACAATCAATTTGATAAAAAGAAAAAGAAATTTACAATACATGTTTACGCAGAAAAAAAATACTATAAAACGAGGATAAAAATAATTAATAAAAGAAAGGAAAGAGAAGCAATAATTTCATCATATCTTCATCGTATCAAAAAACGATCATTCCATAGAATTTAGATATAGACCATAATAATTGAAATTCAGTTATATGCAAATTAAACAATTTTATATTTCAAATATTTCGCAATTATAACACAATATTGCATCAGTCACATTTACCAAGAAATATGTAAAAGAAAACAAATCCATAGAGAGAATATATTATATTCATACAAAGAATATATTGAAATAGAATATCATTTGTATATTCGTATCGTTTTTCAGTATTCAAATCCACAATATTTTTGATTAAATAAATTAAATATAAAAAATGTCGCATGTTGTACTAATTTGTAAATAAGTTAACAAATATAACAAATTAAATTTTACTCGAGAAAAATTTCATTGATACGCAGAATAATATGCATGAGTACGTGTCGTAATGATCTTGTCTCGACCGTGAATTGACGTTAAGGTGACATTGCGTATATACTTTAACGATATGCGCAAATATCGCATGCGCATGAATCGGAATCCGTATGAGTGTATATGTACAAAAACAAAAAGCAGCTGCATTTAATCTTCATCAACTAGTGACAAATTTGTTTCGATATCATTGCATCCATTTGAAATATTATATAATCTTTCATTTGTATATTCGTATCGCTAACTAGAAAATTCAAAATCTATTAATTATTAAAAACGAAAAACTTTTATAATATAATAAGTGAATCATTATCGATAGTTGCGTTTAATATATCATATAATTAAATATCAGATAAAATATTATATGTATTAAATCTTTCTAAATGTCTTTCAAATATTTCTATTGAAATTTTTTTTCTTTCTTTTTTTTTTTTTGTTCTTTTTACATGAAATTCCTCTAGGGACATTTAAAAAAAAGTGCACAAAATAATAAAGTTTCTTTTAAAATAATTTCGATTAAATTGAATATATAAAATTATTACGTATATTTTTCGCAACAAAAAAAGAAAAAAAAAGAATTAAAAGAAACGAAAAAAAAAACAATAGTCAAGAATATTAAATATCTAATTTTGGGCACGCGCGCACATATACATACACATAAAATATTAAAAAAATCTAAACAAGAGTAAAAAAGAAAAAAAAATATATACATATGCATGCATATTTCATCCAATTATGTCTACAATCCTACTTATTCTGCATTTTCGCTAATTTGCGCACTAGTCGTTATTTATATATTATATATATCTGTATCAATCAGTTGATTGGATCCTTTCGATATGATAAATCTTGATGTTTTGAATTATTTTCCTACATGATCGATAGAAGAAATTCTACACACATGTTTTCTACATATTTCAAAACGAAGCTGCGATTGATTTAGAGCAATAGTATGACGTACCAACGATGTAGATACTTGTGGCTGACGAAGCATTTTAGCGCTGCGTCCGTGACAATTAACGTAGAGATAAGTCGACTGCAATATCCACATCCTGCTGGCCGAAATATATTATGCTACGAAAAGCGATATAGCGGGGAGTACTACATAATAGTTGGTGTAATCTTGGATATCTAGCCTGTCAGTGGTCACGATATATGACTCCTTTTCGTAATTATCAATGTATATAAGCCGTATTCATACATATACGTCTTACCTATTTTCCCCTATTTCTCTCCCGTTTCTGAGTGATTCGTAGCAGTGCATCATCGTCATCGAACGCGACGCGATAAAACACAATCATATATATTTTTGTTATTCAATTTTCGAAATCTAGTGATTTTAATGTTATATATTCTTTTTTCATATTAAACATTTATTCAAATAGTCATACAATATTCTTGTTTCGTAAGATTTTTATTTTTTTAAGTCATAGTATTTTGTAATTGTTTCTTCTCTTGTCATTTTATTCTTCGTCATAGTTACATCGCATCACGTATCGATACGTGTTACTCAAGTATGAAAAAGAACCTTTAATGAATAGTATGTAGATAAAAAGAAATATTAGATGTGTAATTACAATATATTTATAATATGTTTTTATATCCTAATAAAATCATGGTGATAAGTATAATAATAGATAAGTATATAATTTATTTTTTTTTTTCAGACAATGAACAATCAGATTTTTATGATTTTATGAGTAAAGAAAATCTATTATAACAACAATCCTATTATATATATTATATATATTATTATATAATGGGATTATTATATATATTATTATATAGAATATTAATAAACATCTTAAATTCAGATATTGATAGAATGATATGTGAATGTGAATATGTGTGATTGCGTATTATTACATACATACATAAATAAGTGAATACGTGTATACACTTCATTTCCAAATCATGTGATATGATATGTTTCAATTTAAAATTTTTCAAAGCGAACTTTTCGTAAAATTTTTCAACTAATATATGTATGTAAATATACGTAGATGAAAAAGAATATTGTTGACATAGAAAGTGAAACGAATTCTAAATGAATAAAAATAATGAATAGTATTTGATGATTAAATGTTCGAGTGTGAATGATAATGGAAAAGCAGGTCCGACAAACATTTAAAAACTAATGTTTAACGATTAAAAAATACTAATTTAATAATTTATTAAAAATAATAATTTATTAAAAAATTTTTTGTTGTGTTACAAAATTTCATGTCATCTTTAGATTCATGTGTGTAGATCGTACATGCCGATCGATGATTCTGGTAGACAAATCCTAAAAGATAATTTAATCTTCGAAATTATATATATATATTGTTGTTCAATAAATATGAACTACAAGTGTAAATACGAATATGAATAGCAATAAATAATAACGATAATTAATTGTTCAAAGATTTGTCACTATCGCAATTTCGATTATCCAATATAATAGAATAGACATAACACAATTTATATGAAAATTATATGTAAATATTGTGATTCGTCAATGATTGAAATGAAATAATTGATCGAATAATAAGAAATAAGCAAAAAGACAAATAAAAGATATTGAATTTAAATATGAATAATTCATATTTTTTTGCGGAATTCGATTATTTTTATACAATAAAATTATTTCAATAAAAAATAATATAAATATAAAAACATATAACTTTTTTTTTAACGGCTGATATTTTCGGATAATACAATATCAACTATTCAATAAAATACTAATGAAACATGTAAAAGGTAAAAGATATACACGTGAAATGTTGCCATAACGAAGAATATCTAACATTGCGATCGCGGTCGCGGTCGCGGTCGTGATCGCGGTCGCATTCGTGTTCGTAGACGCAATCGCAGTTATATACTATGTATCGCATAATATGTATACTATATGTTCGAATATAGTTTGCTTCGCGATTAACTTCCGACATATGATACACCCGGTAATCTCCGCCGACATCGATACATACTGTCTTTCTTAAATATAGAACGAAAAATTTTCTGTACGAATGAAAGGACGCGTACTAATGAATAAAAAAGCAATAAAAACAGATCAATAATGATAGATAGTTAAATTTTAAGGAAGTCTTAAAGAAAAATAATTGAAAAAAATAGAAATAAAAAGCAAAAGAATAGAAAAATAAAAATATTAAATATAATAAATATAGAATTGAAAAAGCTAAAGATTTAATCTGCATTTATTATAAAATTTGTAGAATTTCATATTTATCCAAGTAAAATGAAAGAAAATAAAGAAAATTATACAAAAAGTTGAAAAGTAATGATAAATAATAAAAAATAAAAAATCTAAAATTAAATAATTAAATTATTGATTCATATATATAGATCAAAATATAGTTAAAATACTGTTTGTAACAATAAAATACAATGATGATTGAAACTGAAAGAGAAAAAGAAGTGATTAAATTGAAAACAAATAAAATTATGATAATATGAAATCTATATATATGAAAAAAGGAATACATAGAGAGCGATGAATGGTAAAAGAGATATATAATGAAAAGTTGCAATAGTAACAATATAGTAATGACGATGGTAATCGAGGCGCCGGCTTCAATACCGGCCCCGGCATCGATGGCGGTAGCGGCACGTACAGTGGAACTTTCCAGAAGCTCGAGAGGGGAGAAAGAGCAAGACGATGAGAGTACTGAATTGTGGAAACAGATATGAGAAAAAGAGAGAAAGAATATGCCGAAAAAGAACGAGAGGACACGAACGGCTAATGGTTAGGTGAAAACGAGTCGGCGGAGAACGATTGGTTCGTCGATTACGAACGGTCGAATGCGCATTATATACGTGAGAGATAGCATACGTGTCTTACCTTCGTTCTTGAAAGAGGTACTAGGCACAGAGGCCATTTCTGCATCTGTCTCCTTTCGGAATTGGACATTTTGTCGTCACGCCTCAAAATGTTCGCGTTGTGTCAGTGCTGCGTGTTGTCGCCTGGTCGAACTGGATCGCGTCACGTGAATCTTCACATTCAACTCGCAACCAAATTCTCGAAACTCTATCGACTTTCTTCTTTTTTACCCGTTGCTACCTCTTTTTTTGGTTTGATGCTTTGCAACTTCTCTTGTCGTGCAAACTAAGTATATTCCTTTCTGTGAAATTTCTCGTGACTTGCAATCTCGTTTACAGTGTCCTTAATAATGTGTCACGAGTCGCTTGTATTTGCTATGCGCAATAAATAATGTTTCATTCGATACAACTTTGATGAAAATATAGTTTTCGATAATGAAGATTTTGAAAATGAATCACGCAATCTATTTTTCAAATAAATGAAACGCGCGCGTAAAAGCTATTTTTTTTTCGCTTTCTTTTCCCACGTGTACACAAACCACCCTTACAAGACTGCGCAGGGAATGGTTAAAGTCTAAATGATGCCGCGTGGACGGTTCAACGTATTTCTTAGTTAGCTCGAACTCGAACTACCACCACTGCTAAGCGGTACCAGCGACACCACAGCTACCCTCCTGCTCTCTAGTGTTGCTGTTGTTCGTACAGTACCGTGCCGTGTCGTGCCGTGTTATCCGTTGTTTCCCTGTTGTTTGCTTTGTATGTTTCCTACGTTCCTGATTCGCCGCGCTATTCCTGCTACATTTACCGCGCTTGTGGCATGCGTCTCTATGTGACTTCTCACATTTACAATTTCGATTTTTCAAAATTTTTCTGATCTATTACCACTTCAGTTTATCAATTATCTTTAGATGATTCTTCATTTATCGCTAATTATTGGTATCAATTTGATTTTCTGTGTTGATACGTTTTTCCTTCGATTTAAACACGTGAAAATATAGTTTATATCTGTGTTATAAATTTTTTATTATTTTTTTTGTTTATCCGTAAACTTAAATCGTATAAAATATAAGTGAAATGCACTTTTACGTGTGTTTGAAACTTTGCTAATCAGATCGGGGGGTTTGTCTCTTTTATATAGAGACCGGTGTGGTCGTAAGCGCCGCCTCTTCTATTGGGGCGCGTGTAACTGGTGGGGGACGCGCGGTGACCCGGCACTTCCTCTCACCCTTCTTTCTCTCAGTTGCTTCGTCTCTTGCCTCTCACCTATCTGTTCCATGTTTCGTCTCGTCGCGCTTTATCCTGCCTCGTTTCACCTCACCTCACCTCTCTTTACCATATCTCGCCAGGCGTAACTGCTGTTCGTCCTATCTTTCTTCGCCATAAGTCGCATCTCGTTTCGCTTCGACCAACTTTATCCTCTTTTTCTTTTTCTTTTTCTTTTTCGTTTTTCTTTTTTCTATCCAGACGCGTCAACGCGATGTAGTCACACGTCGTTTCGCGGCTTCTCATATGAATTTGACGCAGATTGAAAATGCGACATATATCCAGAATAATCTGTTTTCTTTGCATTTATATAATCTATCATATCGATATTTGGTTTAACAATCTCGCCCATTTTTTAGAAACTAACCAATGTTGCATTCATTTTTTACTTCGATTTTTACTTTTTCTTCATCGCAACTGTCGTAAAAATCGAATTTATTTATTCATTTTACGATGTATTACAATTGTCAAACAAAATCGATTGGCAAAAATATGTATATTTTACATATGACTTATTTCTCTTGATGAGAATTAAAAATAAAAAATAGAAAAAAATAAAAATAAAATATTAGATTTTTCCAATTTCCAAATACGATATCAATATCTTGTGAACTTTTCACAGAAGTTTCCAGTCATTCGACCTCGTTCAGTTGCAATAGTATAGAGATGCCCTCGATCTTGTTCATTTGTACACATATATATATGTATGTTTCTCTTCCTGTTTCTTATTCTTATATTTATATTATTTTATAATTTCTTGTTTCTTATTCGTATTTTAAAAAAAAATCGTAATTGAAATTGTATTTTTAGTTTAGATTATTTAAATAATATCTGGAAATAATAGATAATATTTTAAAATTTTCCATGTAAAATTATGTATAAATTATAATAATGTTGAAAAAAAGATATAAAGAATGTCTCCAAAATTACGACACAAATTATGTAGTATTTCTACAAAAATAAATCCAAAAAAAGGATAAAATTTGTTATTTAAAGGTTTTTTCGGTTTTTAAATAAATCAAGTTTGAAAAACTTTCAAGTATAAGTGAAATTAGCTATTTTCTGATTAGATACGAGTGAACTATCGATAGAAGTACATTCTATATATAAAAATAAGTATAATACATGAAAAATAAAATAAATTTTTTCATTTAAAAATTCTTCAAGAAATTTGAGATAGTCTTCAAGAGAATTGAAAATTTGAAAATTCATCGATTGTACAACTCTTTAATTGTAAATATTCAATTTCGATTTTTTCAAAAATAAAGACATAAACGATAAAATTTTATTTTTTGCTTATTTCCACATGTAGACTACTTATCGATAATTTATTTATGTTCAATCGAGAAATAGCCAACTTTATTTTTATTTAATTAAAATTTTTTAAAATTTGATTTTTGATATTTGAAAACGAAAAAATGTTTATTTTTATTTTTTTTCGATTTATTTTTGCATAGAATCATTTTTCAACCTTTGCACTATGCTTTCGAAAACATTCTGTATAAATCAAATTAATTTTTTTTGCAAAATATATTTATTGTTTTTTAACTTCTTTCTTTAAATTTTTTTTTCTACTTTTATTATATATTAATTTGAATTAATATGCATATAGTAAAACAAAAAGATATAATTTGTATGTATTAAAATTCATCGCTTTAATAATTACTTAACGAAAATAAAAGATGTCAAAAAATATAAGATCTTAAAAATATCATATTATATTCATAATTGAATTTTTATCTTTATTAAATTCATAACTATAAAGATTATAACTATAAAAAATGTATCAAATTTATAATTGATGATTTTGTGCAATCGAAATCATGTTTTTTTTTTTTGATGTTTTATATTGATATAGAAAATTTTATATTGATATATAAAATGTTTTAAATTTTAATATAAATATAAATTTTTTAAGAGTTTTTTTTGTACATATATATTTATAACATGTTTATTTTAATCTTAATAATATAATATCTTTATTATTTTAATCTTAATAATATAATATTTATTAATTATTGTATTAGTGAATTAATATATAATTTTGAATCGCGAATAGAATCTATCGTGAGTCATTTAAGATATTGAAATATATCAATATCTCTTAAAAATTAAAAAATTTCTCTTAATATCGATATGATTTGCAAAATGTAGAGAATGAAGATAAACAAAGTTGAATAAGATGAGCAATTGAAAAGTATAATAATTGAAATTTTAAAACTAAATTCAAAAACAAAACAATAGCTACATTACAAATTTTATCTCAGGCGAAGATCAATTTCTTTCTCTTCTTTTCGTTTCTTCGATGATCAGATTTCTTCAACAATTGTCGTGCATGGTTATATCACGGAATACGGTCAACTCATTGATCGATAGAGGTTAATCGATAAAGCGAATTGTTAGTATTGTATCGAAGGAAAAATACCTGGTAACTGTAATGATCGATAAAAATTTACGAATGTGACACTGACAGAATTAAAACTGATTGAAAAAAATAATTAATATATTCTCGAAATTTTTCGTTTTTACAATATAAATGTAACAATATTTAATATCTTTTTTCATATTTGATGTGATAAAAAAAAAGATGAATATATCGATTGATTGATTAGAATCATATATTAATCAAAATATGTTAGGATTTATGAAGCGAAAGTATTTTATATTGAATTGTATAATTTCTGTTATGAACGTATAGAAAGAAAATGTGAACGGAAGGTGTGGCAATAAAAAAACAAACAAGTATTTTATGTATATATATGGTATAATTGTCGAAACTGTATTCTGAACTTCGATTCGATGCAGAGTTTCTCAGAGTTTTTAAATGTAGATGTAAAGTATTCATGATTTTAATAACGTGCAATTCAATAGCATACATTGTGAGAGAACATTATCACACATAGGCCATTCAATCGTTCTTATTGCTCGGTCGTCGTGCATCGTTTGTCAGGTTAAAGCACGTGACAAATGTTCTGTAATTCTTTTTTAAATTATAATCATATATTATTTATTTTATAACCATTAATCTTATGATCGAAACTCTTGAATTTTTTAATATATAATAATAATAAATATATATAATTAATAAGTTTCGTTCATTTTAATATTTCAAATAGTGTTCAATCAATTAAATAGATTAATTAAATGATTAATGCATGTAACATCAATCGATCTTTATTGCCTGTCAAATCTCACAAAGAGATCGATAGGACGCATTCTTCGAACGTTCGAGAAACTCGTTAGAAAATCGAAATGATTGATGCAGTTAAACTAGTTCGATAACTATCGCAATCTCATCAGTATTAATGTATACGATCTTCGATTTTCCAAATTTAAAAGCAAAATAGTCATTATTACGAATAGCTTGTTCAATATGTAAATTATTTTCTCGGATTGTAATTGGATACCATTACCTATCCATATATTATTTGAAATTTGAATCTATTTCTAATTTCGTTGTATGAATAAATTATGCTTTTAGGGAAGTTATTATCATTTAAGATCGATAGATTATCGATGGTTAATCGAAACGCAAAATTGGATTATTGATTCGAAACAAATCAATTTATTTTATGATAACTATAAAAAATATATTTATTAATTCATAGCGAATTATTAATTATATAATAAAAATAAAAAGTAAATGTAAAACAAAAGAAAGGAATATTTCTGAAAAAAGCGTATTTTATGCTTATCATCTTCTTGTTCGTCTAAAATTTAATTGGTCCAATGTTTTTTCGCTTTAAACTCGGGAACACGGACATATTTGGATCCCCTGGCGTGGGTTAACAAGTGGCAATTCTCATGAAGATCATCGAAGATTAATTGACCAGCATTATTATTTCTTTAGAATTGTTACATACATCTTATTAAAACTATTTTACAATTTATCGTTAATTGTTAATGTATCCTATTTTTTCAGTTTTTCTCAATATTATTTCGATTTTGTTCATGATAAAAAAATTATACTTAAATGATAAAAATCTTTAATTTTTAATAACTTGCTTAATTTTTTTTAATCTATGCTTCTATTGATTTGCTAATTATTCCTAACAAACGTATCAAGCGCACCTGCATTAGATAAGACGATGGAATTTTACTGGATATGCTTCGTATACCCGAGACAGCAGAAGCCAACCGAGACGATATCGATGATACCAGTCAGTTAGTTGGTCGCTGGTGAATCGGCTTCTCATTCAAAAAATTCGATGTAACGACTCGATTGTTATCATTGTATTTCAATTTTATATTTATATTTTCAAAAGCGATTGATCATTAATCGAATTTTTCGAATTTTCAAATTGAATGTTATATTCATATTTCTTGATAAATTTCAAGTTTTATTTCAAATTTTTCTATCACAAAAATACATATATAGACTAATATGTACAAGTGGATACAGTGATTTTTTATAAAAAAAATAACAAAAAATTTAGAATAAAATTTTTTAAAATCCAAGATTTAATTTTTAAAATAATTAAATTCAAAAATCTATTGCATATGTATGTAATAACTATTAATAATTTATTAAAGATCAAATAATGTCCATTGTGTTTTTTGAATAATGTTTATAATATTTTCGAATTTTAATTCCAATATTAAATTCAAGAAAGATCAAAAAGATATTTTTATAAATATAATGAATATTATGTTGTTTGGTCATATTTTAATCATAACTAAATACATAAACAATGAATTTTTAAATTTAATTATTTTAAAAACAAAATTTTGGAAAAAAAACTTTATTTTATATTTTTTTCTTCATGTCATGTCATCTTAAAAAAAAATGAAATCATTTTATATTCACTTGTACACTTATTTGGCTGTACTTTATACATTGTACAATAGGCATATTATATTTAATTGAAATTTAATATTTAAATTGAGAAGATTTTTCCTTGTGAACAATCATATATTCCAAATCTTTTTCATTTTCAGATGCGTGTCTTCGATGTCAAGCGGAAAGCAAAAAAGATGATAGCCGACAGGACTGTGTCGTCGTCTGGGGAGAATGCAATCATTCATTTCATTATTGTTGCATGTCACTTTGGGTGCAACAGAATAATCGTTGTCCATTATGCCAGCAAGAATGGTCCATTCAACGAATGGGAAAATAACTAAATCAATCAAGCGAAACTTCAATACTTATTTTTTTTCTTTTTGTTTTCGTTTATTTTTTTTGCTTATTTTTCTTCTTTCATACCTTTCTCCTCTCTCTTTCTAAGTTGATTAACTTATTTACTTTCAAATTTGCATTTTTCATGTTTTCTTCTATTCTTCATCTTCGATTTTTTTATTGCTTCCTTTATTTTTCTGCAGTTTTTAAATTTCATGACTTAATATTTTGATCATAAAGCAATAAATCAATCTGTAGTAATTGATCAAAACATACGATAACATTATATTGTATTCAATTTCAAATAAAACACGAAACTATTTATTTAAGAAAATATTTCCCGCTTTAAATTACCAACATGCGGGACAAAATAGCTAGCAGTGACATAGAAGTAGGAGAATGGGCGAATGATGATGAAAAGCTAGCTCATTATGATGCGATGTAACGGTTTGTTCGACGGATCACATGGTATAATGACGTTATTGCTCTTTTATTCTATTTTTTTACGTCATTGCCAATCATGTTGTCTCGCATGCAGGTAATTCAAGTTATAATATTACATTTACGAATTAAATTGCATATTTTTTTGTTAAAATCTCAAAAAAACAAAGTACATTTCATATTATTAAATTATCAAATCAAATATTACATTATTTTTGATAATCATCTACGCTGAATTATTTTTTATTTTTTTATTATATGTCAAATTATTTTTTAATGTCATAAATAAAACATCAAACTATAAGTAGATTTTAAATTTAAATATTAGATATTAGATTTTGAAAACATTTATTAATCAATTTTCATGTTTTTCTTTGATAATCTTTTTAATTTATTTGTTTAAATTTTTCAAATAATTATACTATTTCATTGCATGAAATTCTTTAGCTTAATTGATAATTTTATTCAATAATGAATTCCTTTCTTCATTTCTTTTTTCTTATTTTTAATTAAAATCAAATAAGCTAGATTAATTAATGGTATTCTATTTTATCTATAATTCAATAGTTAGAAAAATTCGGTATTCCACATATGATGTATATTGTGTTGTGGCGTGATACGAACGGCACGTAATCACGATCCAATGTTCGAAGGTCGCACCTTTCTTCTTTTCTTCGTTCGTAGATTTCTCGTTTGTGCTATCCTTGTCTTGTCTGGTTCATCTTTGATCTTTCTTTTTTGTTCCCCCTTCCTCCTTGTCGAAGCACTCGCGCCTTCGTGCGATTGTCCATTCTATCGTTTCTCCGGCATTACGTATCGTCATGAGTATACAGGAGGCTCGTCGGAGGCTCGACCAATCAAATAGTAGAAAGGTATAGCAGCGCTTATATTTATGACCTCGCAGTTGCTGCCACTTCTTGCATCTTTTTTTCTCTCTATACTCTGCACTCCTTAGTCCCTTCTCTTCTCCATTCCTCTACTACGTTTCTCTTTGCCTCTGCAAACCTTCTCTTTTTCTATTTTTGTCGTGATCTATACGTAAAACTACGGTTATAGTAAATGCAATTTCTGACAAATTAACGGTAGAACAATTAAATAAATAAATTCTTATAAGGGTAATTAAATTTTTTTCTTCAAATAGTCTATGAATTCGTTTAATAAATTATTATTTTTCAATTATTTGGAAAATATACAATCTATATCAAGATGTTAAGTTTATCAGAAAACGTTTATTTAATATAACAATTTAGCGGATACACATATACATTTATATATTTAATGTCTTTTTATCTTTAATATCCTAATCATTTCTTTTCCTTTAAATTTTGTTATTTCTATTTTTTATTCAGAATTGATGAAAAAGAATTTAAATAATGCTATTATGTATATAAATTTTTAGCAATATATTTAAGTACCCATCAAAATTCTTAATCGATTAATCAATCGATCAATTAAACTGGATGTATTTATAATTTTTATGCAACTTCATTATATTAAAACGAAAACAATTATAATCTACTATTTTGATACTTTGTACAATTTTTTCTGTATTATATCTATATTATATTAATCAATATTTTTCAAAATTATTTTATTTTATTATATGTTTTGTTTTTTGTTATATCAAATTATAAAAGATGTCTCGTAAAAAGAAGATAAATTGAATAAATTTTTAAAACTAATTATTTTATTAATTTTTTATAAATGTATAATTTGATATATATTATGCCAAAGTTTTAAATATACATATATATGTGATAATAAACATACATATATATATATACATTTTTCAAAGAAAAAGTAGAAATTAGAGACAATGAAAAAGAAAAATGAAAATATTAAGTTAAATATTGATATAGAATGACGTAATAACAAATTCGTTTATCACGTTCTGTTGAAAAACGATGATTCGAGGTCAACTTGAATCAAGCCTTCACGAAATTTATTTTCATTGATTTTTTAAATCGATAATAAATTATAAATAGCAAATTTAGATTATTTAAATTTTTGTTAAACTATAATTTTCTTGTTTTATATATTAATATTGTTACTCAATCATCTACTCAAATGACTACAAACTTTTATATAATTTAATATTCGAAATATGTTAATCATATTTAATCATTTGAAATGTATCGATTAAATTATTTTTTTTATAAAAAATTAATTCCAAATTATAAATAAATATTTGCTTGTTCATAATATAAAATGTGAATTTACAACGTCAATAATGTAAGAATTTATATTACAATATATTTTTCAAATTGAATAATGATGAGAATAAAAATCCTGACACGTTGGCATGCGATTACGTTACTGCACACAGTCACGTAGCAATGTACGAATACGTAAATCTTCTAGATGCAAATATTCATTTTTTTGTTTTTATCTTCAAATTCCATAATGAAAATATATTGATTGAAAAAAGAATCATTTATGACCGTTGAAATCTATTATTTTCTTAAGTAAATATTTGATATGTGAATTGTTTGATATAGTTCTCTGCTATGCAATTCATGAAAAATTATCAGTTAAATTGATTGAGAAACATCAGTGGCGCCAGTGACCAAGCATAATATGAAGGTCATTTCGGTCAAATGGAGGCTCGTCACGTTTCACCAATCAGCAAATGGTATTTTAAAATATATATGTATTTGAATCTAATCATATATGCCTTATGTTACTATGATGATACTAATACTTTTAGAATTATAAAGATAAGATAAATTGATTTTATATAGCTTATATTTATATTTATTTTATTTATTTTAATCTTTGTTAATGCTTATGACCCAACTTATGACCCAAAATTATTGTATACAATATAAATGTTACGTGAAAATTTGAGAATAAAATATTTCAACATATTTTCTATTATTACATATTCCATTATTAATATTTTTAAATTGAAAAAGACTTTAAAGTATATTACAATTTTCTTTTGTGTGTATATATATATAATATTCGTTATTAATTCGGATATAAAAAAGATCTATGAAATCGATTAATTTTTTATGATTTGTACAATTTGCGATGCTCTTTATTTTCAAAGTAATCTTTAAAATGATTTATAAAAAAAGAGGAACATTATATTATTAATGTAATAAAAAATGTAATCATTTTCTAGTATCATTTTTTTCTATTGCATACAGTGATATATAAATAATATTAATACAAAAAAACTTGAATTATTTAAAATAATTTTATTTTTTATTTCAGATTTTTCTTCATAAAAATATTAAATCATTCAATATCAATTATTGATAATTGATATTATCATACATTTACAAATATTATCATATGAAATATGTCATCTGTAATAAATCTTATGAGATATATAAAAAAAGACGATTGTTTTGTATTTTTGTTTGTATTTAAAATATCTTTTTATAAATAGAGAAGAATAACATGATTCACAACATTTTGTGACAATTTTATTTGCATATTTTATTATTATGTAATAACATTTGATAATATCTACATTCTGTAAACATTCTATGTGTAACTTAATAATTTATTATGATCATAAATCGTATATTTGATTGGTAGTATTTGTTTGTATTGCATTTTTATTCAATCAAAATAAATTTGGATTATCATTATAATTTGTTTTATAATAGTTTAATAAAATAAAATAACTATTATTTTAATTTTTTTCATTAATTTCACTGAAATATCTATACATTCACAAATATGTATAATTGCAATTGTTTATTTTCTTAACCAAAATACTTTTTTTTAACATATCATTAAACTTAAAATACTCTTTCATATTTCTTAAAAATATTGAACGGAACGTATTGGATTATATTTGAAAAATCTAATTCATTTTATAGTGATTCATCTTATGCTTATTTTCTTAATCTGAAAACTGTAAAATTATAATTGTCAAATTATTCTAATTTTTATTCCAATTATATATTTTATATAGTATTATTTTAAGATGTATAAAATAAATTATGAATAAAATCTCGTTTTTTTCTTTTTAAATTAAATAAAACACATAAGAATTGTCAATTGAAACAATGTAATTATTGACATTATTATTCCTTTCTCAGAGCATTTAATATAAGAATTGTCTTATCAATACTTTTGAATTAAATATGACTATTTAATTGTTACTTTAAGTAAGTACTTACATGCATAAAAATATTTTTATTTTACTACTTAAAAGAAGTAGTATCTCTTTTCATTATCTTTTGAATGAATACAATAAAATCTATTTCTACCATCTCACAAATGCTTTTACAGGTAACAAACAGTGAAATCAATATCGAAATAAAGAGTATAAACAAGAAACAGTATTATTTATGAAGGCACTTGAATGTCTATAATATTTTGTTAAATAATTCAATATAAAAAATATCTTTTACAGCATTAATGCCTATCAAAGGCAATATAACCATTTGTAACATAACGTTTTTAAGTTAAGGTCACAATGGAATGTAAAATTTGTTTAACAATGAAAATCGCTTAAATGTTTCTAAATTCTACATATTTTAAAATGTAACATCTAACAACAACTTAAAAAATAAGATCGTAATTATGATTACTTTTATAATCTATGTACGTTTTAATGAATTAATTACCACCCTTATTTTTATTTTTTACACCGATTTATTAGCAGTTCGTATGTCTAGAACCTCTCATCAGTGGAATTAAAATACTTGGACTCTGTGCTTGCCTAAGAAACGGATGTTGTAACAATTCAGTTGCTGTAGCTCTTTGTGCTGGATCACGAACAAGCATTCTTTCCAGAAATCCTTGAAGACGTGGACTGACCTTTATAATAATAATAAATAATTAAATAAATAATTCTTGTATCATTAAATTCATATCATGATTTGTAAAATATTTTTAGCTCACTTTATGAGAATTTTTTAATTTTGGTGGTGGCATATCTCTAATACGTCGCATAGCTTGTAAAGGAGGTTCATTAAAAAATGGTGGCTCTCCATCAACCATTTCGATAATCATTATACCTAATGACCAAATATCCACTTCAGGACCGTATGGTAACCTAAAATAAATAAATAAATAAATATATATATATATATTATTTTTGTATATATAATATATAATATAATATTTTTAATATTAGAAGATTAGAATAAATTATATCTTTCAAACAGTAGAGATAAAAAAATATATAAATCAAAATTAAACAATATTTAATAAAGTATAATCTAAATAATTTTATATAATTTTCTGAATTGATCTGAAAAATGCAATTATATCTTTTTTTAAATGGAAACTTATAATTTTGATAATCAATTTTTTAATCTCTATAATAAAATATTATTTCATTTTTTTTTAATCTGATATTGAAGTTATTAATTAAGTTATTAGTTAAAATTTTCTAGATTATTTATGAATAAGTTATTATTACAATTATTTATTACAATAAATAATCTGCTATTACAATTTAAACACTTCTCTATTCTTTTTGTAATATTACTTAATGTATTACTAAATATTAAAAAATTATTATTATTATTATTAGTTGATATTAGCAATTGATTCATATTTACAAATAATGTGTTATAACATAAATTATTATATCTGCAGATTAGATAACTATTTTAAAAACTTTTAATTGTATAATTGTAATAATTTCTAAGTAGATTTAGAGCAAAAGTATTAATATATCATTGTAGAGATTAAAAAATTGTCAAGATTATAAGATTTCACTTAAAAAAAAAAAATATAATTACATTTTTCAAATTATGTCTAGATTATGCTTTATTAAATACTAATTATTTTTTACAATATTTTTTCTACGTCTAAATTTGGAATAACTTTTAATTATGTGAAATACATATACATATATTAATCTACAAAATTAAGAAATACTCGATTTTCGCCAAAAATTTAAATAATTATATCTTTGTAACAAAAAATCATTTCATCAAATCACAATAATAATTTTGGTCTCATTTTGAAGTATAAAAATTTTATTTTCAAAATTGCTAAATAAGTTTTTCCAAAGGATGTTTTTTTAAAGTATAAAGCTACTTTTTTTTTATCAAAAAATGTGCTTATCAATTCTTTTTCACATATTGATGCATTAATGTAGATTTTTCACTTTTTGAAGAATATCTTTCCAAAATTTTTAAAATTTCTTTATATATTCAATGTTAATTCTTTCATGCTTCATAATCATCGTTCGTAATATTTCATACATTTTCAGAAGAATTCTAAATTTTTCGATGAGTGAGAGATAATTTCAATTGTTTACTTTGAGAAATTGATATATATTATATTTGACTAGGAATATTCTTATTCAATTTGTATGGGATTACATGTAAAAAGATTTCCGTTTTGAATGTATTATTGCTATATCATACTAATTTTATCCAATAGAAAAATCCATCATCACCAAATCATCAAAAAGATCTGATTAAAATTACAGATATGAAGAAATAAGAGAGAGCAATATTTTTTTGAACATTTAATCACTCATAACTAAAACTATATACTTTAATTATGTAATGTATTATAATTAATTGTGTAAATTTAATGTATTATACATATATATTAATCACACACATTCGAAATATAAATCAAACTTACACATTAAATACATACATATGAAGTATATCCGATCATGCAATCTTTTCATAATGTATCTCGGATTATTTTAATATCGATTATTAAAAAAAATTTATAAAATTTATAAAAAAAATGTATAAAAAAAAATTTTTATTAATAAAAAGAAAATCATATATCAAATTTTAAAAAGTATTTGTAAAGAAGAGATTTCAATCTTTGAAATTATCAATTTTTAAAGAAATTTGTCAATGCTAGGTCATTTAAATCTGAACAATTTTTGAAAATATTTTTATTTTTTATTAGCTTAAAATATTTTTGAGAAAAACTTTTTAATGATTCTTTTTCTAAAAGTAAAAGCTTTCAAAATAAGCATAATATTATTATTATTATGTATGATTTTTTGTTATAGCGATATAATATATATGTTATATAGATATAAACGATTTAAATATCGGTAAATTTTTGGCGAAAATCAAGCGCTCTTTTAATTTTATATATCATTATATATCATCATATTATATATATTGCTCAGTTTATATTGCTACATTGCTATTAATTTATATAAATTATATAAATTAAATATAAAACAATTAAATAAAACTAACAAAAAAAAATTATAATTCACCTCGAAATAACTTCTGGGCTCATCCAATATGGCGTTCCAACGAGAGACTTTCGCCTGGGTAATTCTTGAGATACTTGAGCACAAAATCCAAAATCGGATAACTTGACCCTACCGTCAGCCGTTAGTAGTATAGAATCGGACTTAATATCTCTATGAATAACACCTTGAGAATGCAAATATGCAAGAGGCTTCAAACATTGAGAACATACTGTGGCAATTTGAGTTTCATCCATGCGAGAATGAGTTACAATATCCGTAAGCGCTCCTCCTTCAAGATATTCCATTACGACCCATAATTCGTCATCTACTAAAAAACTATCATACATTTCAACGATGTTTGGATGGTGATAATCTCTCATGATAACTACTTCATTAAAAAGTAATTCACGTCTTTGCTGCTTTCTCAAATCCATTTTTTTCACTGCAACTTGTCGATTTGTATTTTTTTCAGTTGCTATACATACTGTTCCTGTACTTCCTTCACCGATTTTAAGAAAATTTTCTAAATTTTCTCTTGGATCGCCTCGACTTACCTGTAGTATTTAAATAAATAAAATCGAATAATAATTTGAAATATCTTTTTTTTATATATTTTTATAGAATTCATTTATATTATTATTATTATTTTTATTATCTAATATTATCATAATATTAATTTGTTTTTCTTACCACCATCTGTAAAGCTGCTCTAAATTGTTCATGAGTAAGTCTTTGTTCCGCTGTTTGTTTATTCGTTGTATTTGAACTTGAACTGACTGCCAGATTTCCCGAAGACAAAGCACTTTTCATATTTTGATTTTGATCAGGTATCGAATTGTTTCCAGAAGATGGTAAATTGGATTTTGATAAATTATGCATTGATTGAGATGTTTCAATAGATTTTTTTATATGAGATTGCAAAATAGAAGAATTTTCAGATGTACTATATCCTTGTGAATATTTATTAACATTATGTGTACTTAATTGGCTTAATGGTCGTTGAGAAGCAATAGAACCTACTGGTGAGATTTTAGGTTGTAATTTATGCAAAAGAGTATTTTGAGTTATTTGTTGGTCCTTTGAAGAAGTATCAATATTTGAAGCCTGTGTGAATAAGAAATAATATATATTTTTAAATATAAATAAAATATATAATATTTAAGTATTGTTTACCTGAACATTTCCATTATATTGACCAGATGTTATAGATATTTGAGTATTTATCCTATGAAATTCAGAATCTATAAGTTGAGGAGTACTAGGACTTTGTATAGAACATTGTGGAGTATTAATAGGACTTAAATTTTGGAAATTTAAAGACAAATTGGTGCATTTGAACCAACATGTGTTAAATTAGGAGATGATTGCATATTTGGATTAAGGTTTTGAAGATTTGGAATCATGTTTTGTGTATTGGAATGTAATCCACTTGTAACATTAGATGAATTTTGTCTCAATTTATCAAGGTAATTGTGTTGTTTTCCAAAATTAGTATAACCCTGAATTTGATTAGTATTTGATGACATTTCTTGACCTTCTGGCACAGAGGGTGGTAAATTATTATTATGCCTAAAATAAAAATATAATAAATTACTGAATATTAAAATAGTAATAAATATAAAAAAGATTACCTGTAATCTCTTCTAAGTTTTGGTGGACTTGAAGAACGAAGAGAATTAGATCTAGCAACTGTACTAGTTTTGGGTAATCCATTTTCAGTGTTTTTCTCACCACTGAAAGTTCTTCCTTTTGGATCATTATGGCCTCGAACAATAGTTTTTAAATCTAGAATTTCTGTAGGTGTAATTTCACTTGGATCTACCAAAGGTAATGGTCTATTTGTAGATTTTAAAATTTGATTGTTTCCAACAATAGAAGCCCATTGTAATGGAAGTCCAACGAATTTTCCTTCACGTTTATCAAATCCAGTATGTACACGATGTTCAAAATTTGTTGGAGTAGATATCTGTGGTTTCTTTTTCTTTTTAGCAAACATTTCCTATCCTATAATAATTATTAATATTAAAAAATATAACTAAAATTCTATAATATACTAAATATTTATATATGTTTACATATTTCTGTAGTATATAATTTAGCAAATGTATTTAATTATATAAATTTAAACTAAAAATTATTTTGAAAAGCAATAGATTTAAAACTGTCAATTGAGTTTATTATAAATTATTCTCAAAGAATAATTTTTACGTATACATAGTAACATGGTAGTTTTTTAAAATTAACATATAGAAGAAAAGAAAAATGATGTATAAAATTATATGACCTGTTTAATATTTAGAGGAAATAATAAAATCAAAGAGAAGCCAAATGACAGCAACGCCTACTAGTGCGTGATATGATTACCGTAAAGTGATTTTTTTGAGTTGTTGGTTAGATTTTTTAAGAATAATTATTTTCTATTAATGTTACACTGTCTTGAAAAAATGCTAAATTTTAAATAGTATAGAAACATAAAAAAATTGATTAATTAAAATAGGTAAATACGGCATTTAGCCTTTCGACAGGTCGTTCACACACCGGCGCTCCGCGCGGAGAGCTTACGAATCTTTCTTGGTATTTGACTCGTGACAATTTACTCAAATGTGCGTGAGGTAACACCTGTAATGAGATTACTATAAAAAATAAAATGAATATAAAATAAACATAAAATTGTGTCGGGAAAAAGCAATTGCAATCATGATTAAAAAAATAAGAATACATCAATTATAATCATTTTAATTAAAATGCTAATAAGTATAAATGCTACTAACATACTACATATATTATATGAAATATAACATATAACAATATTGTTTTTTCGATATTTAATAGAATGAAAATTTGAAATTATGTAAAATATTATATTTTATTATTAAAATATTTATATTAATATAAATATTAATATATATATATATATTTTATAAATAATTTAATAAAAATATTAAATTTAATATATTCTTATATATCTCCTTTAAATAATATAATCTAAATTTATAAAAAGGAAAATTATAAACATATACATGTTTCGACATTATATATAATAAATAACAAAAATAGTAGAATTAATATATTTAAAATAAATATAAAATAGATACATACATTTATTATATTCGTAATCTTAAATAAAAAAAGAAATATGTTTGAATTATTCAAAAAACGACTTTACGTACACACATATATACACATTTGCATGCACATACACGTACGAATAAAAAGATGTATAAAAAGATGCGATCACGCATAAAAATATTTGGTTCTTCTTCGTATCAAATCGTTTAAAATAGAAAGAAAGTCTATGCGATCTACATGATCGATCGAATCTATCAGAGCTATTAAAAATGTACGAGAGAAAAGAGAAACTGTTTCTCTCTATCTTTTTGAAAGTTTAATTGAACAAATGTTTCATCGTTGTTGTTTCTAGTTACTTTTACTTAGAAATAAAAAAGTAGTTAACAAGCAATAATGTTACAAACAAATTTCGTTTCTCACGATACAAGATAGGATGAAATATTAAACACTTTCCCATATTTTTTTATACAATGTTACAATGTTATTACCATATGAGTATTTAATATTGTCTTCTAACGTTTTTATTGTTGTCCATATATAAAAAAAAAGTAGTAATTGTCTGAGTGTGTAGAGAAATTTAAACACAATGGTTACATCAGAGTCAAAGAAATATTCAAAAGGTGTATTTTTTAATTAGTATTATAGTTAATATTTTTCAAATAATAATTTTTTAATTTAGTTTTCATTCTTATATTATATTTATAGACTACGAATGGGCCGTAAGATTAAATCGATTTAGTTTAAATCTAATTTGTCTTTGGCCTGTGGAAGAACAAAATATAAGAAAACAATCTTGGACGAAATTACATATAATAGCATGTTTTATGCTAATAACTTTTGTTTGTACGATTCCTTGCTTATGTGCTCTTAAACAATGCAATACTTTAATGGAAGTGACGGATAATCTTGCATATTCTATTCCTTTGATAATAACGACAATAAAATTTATTGTAATATCCAGCAAGAAGAAAGGTAAGTTTAAATTGAAGGAAAAGTAGAAAGCATCAATGTAAAAAAAATATATATAGAATGCATGAAATTTCGCATCACTTTTTTTTTCAAGTTCTCTCACCGATTGTAAACATGATCGCAAAAGATTGGCTAAAATTAAAAACTGACTATGAAAAAGATGTAATGATACAGCGAGCAAGAATTGCAAGAATAATCAATATATTTGGTTATATATTAATGTGTATTTTAATATGGTTATTGATGATTCTTCCAAGATTCGGTATTACTATTCGATATGTAATGAATGGAACCGATGCAAAAAAACTTTTTCCATTACCAACTTATTACATTTTTGATGTATCTGAAACTCCATATTTCGAAATAACATATACTCTTCAATCTATCAGTCTTTTAATAGCGGCATTTTGTTATGCTGGAGTTGATAATTTTTTTGGAATATTGATCCTTCATATTTGCGGCCAATTAACAAATCTTCGATTTCAGCTAGCAAATATGAAAGAATCAGAAACTTCTAATTTTGTTTTAATAGCTATTGTAAAAGATCATATACGACTTATCAGGTATTTTCTTTTATATTGTGTTATATAAATCCGTATTATTTCTCTTGTTTTCTCTCTATTTTAGCAACTTATATATTATTATATTATTATATATTATATTATTAAGTATACGCAATAAAAAATTATTTTAATTTTTAAAAATATTTCATTATAGAGCAGCAAATGTGATCGAAAATACATCAACACTTTTATTTCTCATTTTGTTACTTAATTTTGGAATTTGTACTTGTATATATGGCTTTTTAATAATCACTGTAAGTATTTTAGCCTTATATAATTATTTAAGATATTTGTGGAACAAATTATAAATCTCATAATTACAATCTTTAAATATTTTTTTAAATGTCTTAAGATATACATTGAAGAAGAGCAATTTTCCCTGCTTCGAATAATATATTTAATATGTAATTTTACAAACACATTTCTTCAAACGTTTCTCTATTTTATGGCAGGACAAATGTTAGTAACTCAAGTAAGTAAAAATTCTTTTTTTTTTTCTACATTGTTGCATTATTTGTGTATTTACTTAAAATTTTCTTGTAATTATATAGTCCGAGGAAATACATAATGCTGCATATGAATGCGAGTGGGTAAGTTTAAAATACACGAAAGCAAAAAGTTTGATCATAATTATGGCAAGATCAAAGAAGCCACTTTATTTAACTGCAGGAAAATTATTTCCTGTGACGATGTTAACATTTTGCAATGTAAGATATATTTTTTTCACATATTTTTACTCATCTTTTTTTTCTTTGTCTTTATAATATTATTTCAGATATTAAAAATTTCGCTCAGCTATATATCCTTCTTATTAACAATATTATAAAATATTGCAATTTATGAAAATTATCAATTAATTTAACTAATTTTTTCTATATATATATCACGGTATATATTTAAAAGTTATTAAAAAATAGTTTTTAAAAAAAATATAAACATAACGTTGTGTATTTTTTAATCATAAATATTATGATGGAAATAAATGAAATATAAAATAACATCATATATTTTAAATATATTATTTTTGTTTAATTATTTTTCTTAGATAGATATAATAAATGGATTCTTTTATTTATTTCAATAGATAACAATAGAAATTTTGGCATAATATCACATACATTATAATATTATATTTATTAATAGAATTTCTTCTTTAGAGAAAATATCAAAATATAAATTGTTAAAACAAATAATCTTCTTTAAACTATAATATTTGTAATAAATAAATTCAATTAAATAATTTAAAATAATTGTATCTTAACGAAATATTTGAAATTTATATATTAAAATTGATTTGTTTATTTTTTAATTTTGAATAATATATAGTAAATATAATAAACTATTGAAAGAGATGTATCCTGTAATATATTATTATCGAGCATAATCATTCAACTAGCAGTTCCGTGTAGATAGTAACACAATATGGTCAAGCACGAATTTACCTATATATATCATATGTATATATATATATATATATATATACATATAACCGTGTAATAGAGGCATAGTATTTATGTAACGTATGTTTGCATGTGTGTGGAACGCGCAGTTTCATGATATAAAAGTAAATTAATCGATTCAATAAATTTAATTTTATCAAAATAATATTAGAATATGTGTATAATTTTAAAAAATAAAAAAAATTTTGAATGTTAATAACAAAAAGAATAAGAATTAATAGATTTTGATTTATATGTTCTGTTTCGTAGGTGAAATGTGTAATTTCCGTTGTAAGTATAGAAACAAAAAAATCATCGTTTTCAATTTAATCATAATAATTAACAAAAGGATTAAATTATCATATGACATACAATTTTTATGAATAAAATAATTCTATATGTCTAAATTATCGGATTGATCAAGTTGTATGTCGTATTTTTAGGTTAAATGATTCTATACAGTATGGTTACAATATAATTGGCTATATTCAATCTTGTAAAACATGATTTTTCTGCTTTTTGTATTGTAATCAGATTGTTTATATATAACATGAATAAATAAATTATTTCACTTCTAGAATAAATCATAGCAAATGGAAGATTTTAAAGTGAAAGATGAACCAATGGATGCGTTAAACATAGACAGTCAGGTTATGGTAAACGTTTTCTATGAAACAGCAGCACCATACAATACAATGCTTCCACAAGGACTCTAACTTAAACCTTACTTTAAGGACGAAAACATTGTAAGCGTTGTACTTAAAGAAGAACCCGGCGATAGATTTGATCCAGACTACATGGAGGACATCTGTTCTGGGACATTCGAGAAGGTATTTTTACCTATCGAAAATAATGAAGTTGACTTCTCTAATGAAATGGTAAATTTTATATAAAATTATTAATAATTAAGCTTTGTTTATAAAAAAATTAATTGATCTCACAAAATAATTTTAGGTAAAACTCGAATTGGATGGGGAATCCAGTAGTCATCAGAATTGGACAACACAAATTGCAAATACAAATTTGTGTGATAAAGAAGATGGTGCTATGCAAAGGTGCTTAACAAATGCAAATTTTGCTCAAGTACATGATGTAGAAAAACATTCTGGATTTTGTCCAAATGGACAGCAACCAAAATTTTATAAAATACAATGTTCTATTTGCAAAAAATGGTTTCTAAATAATGATTCTATGGTTACTCACCTGAGAATGCACTGTAGTGGAAATCAGTGTGAGGTTTGTCAACAAAATTTTCAGGATAATTCCAGTTTACATGCTCATATGCTGACTCATGTTGGAATGAGTCCATTGGAATGCAATATCTGTCAAAAACGATTTGCTTACAAATGGTGTTTGCGTAGTCATATGCAAATGCATGTATTAGAAAAACCATATGACAATGATGCATTGCAACACGCATTTATAAAAAGACCTGATTCTGAGCATGACCAATCCATGAGTACAGAAGAAAGAGTATTTGAATGTGATGTTTGTCACGCGACATTTAAAGAAAAATCTAGTCTGAATCGGCATGTGGTTACTCATACAGAGGAAAGACCATATAAATGCGATGTATGTTTTGCAGCATTTAGGGAAAAAGCAAAATTGAATATGCATATGGTGTTACATGGAAACAAACAATTCAAGTGTACAATGTGTCATAGATCATTTACACAGAAAACAGCATTAAACAATCATATGTTAGCACATAGTGGTGAGAAACCACATGCATGTAATATTTGTGAAAAAACATATAACGGAAATCAGAATTAATAAGACATACTATGGTTCATACTGGTGAAAGGCCATATGAATGTAAAGAATGTCTAATGACTTTTCGAGAAAAAGCAAAATTAAATTCTCATATGCTTGTGCACACAGGTGAAAAACCACATGAGTGTCATATATGTCATAAAGCATGTGCCCGCAAATCCGATCTTAATAGTCATATGCTGTTACATACAGGGGGCCAATATGATTGCAAAGTCTGCGATAAAATATTTACTCGTAAGTCAGATTTAAATCGACATACTTTGATACATACAGGTGAAAAGCCATTTGCTTGTGAATTATGCGACATGGCCTTCAGAGAAAAAACTAGATTAAATTCTCATATGCTTATACATACTGGCGATAAACGACATGCCTGTCACATTTGTCAAAAAACCTTCAAAGAGAAGTCTTCATTGCGAAAACATATGTTAAGTCATACTGGTGATAGACCATATGAATGCTATGTATGCCATAAAGCATTTACTCAAAAAACAACATTAAATAGTCATATATTGGTACATGCAGGAGAACGACCATACGAGTGTAGTGCATGTCAGAAAATATTTAAAGATAAAGCAACATTGAAAAAACATTTGTCTGTGCACATAAATGAAAAAACTCATGAATGTTTAATTTGTTTAAAAAAATTTGCCCATAAAGCTGCGTTAAATAGTCATTTATCCACAAATCATACATCCTAAATAGGGTGATCTAGTCTATTATGTTTCAGCTTTTAGTTCTTTTTATTAAGCATTGTTCGTCTATAGCTGCATAAAAATGATTACATACATCCATTTTATATGCTCATTGGCCCAAACAATCATATTCTTTCCTGTATCTTTATGTATAATAAATTAATTTCTAATTAATTTTTTATGGTTCTTTTTTTAATATTTCTATACATATATTTAATAAAATGCATATACTTTTTATAAGTCATTACATATCTGGACATTTATTATATATTGATAAATATTTTTTTATGATTATTATTATTGATATAATAATAATTATAGTAAAAGCAATCATTTTAATATTTTTTCATGTTAAATATCATCATTCATTTAATAATATAACATCTGAATAATTCATGGTCAATCAAGTTATCGATACATTCATTTTATTACATGTAGTTTAATAAAAATGTAATAATAGTACAACATTGACATTCTTTTATATCGCTTCGATAGTAATTTAAATATATATTTAAAATATATAATTTTGATGATCAAACCTACTATTCATATAGTGACAACAAAATGTTTATTTATTTTATTATGAAATATGTATCTATAATGTTTTGCTTATATATTTATACAAATGAAAAATATTGAGTCAATATTATATACTACTAAATGGATGATAATTGTTAATATGAATTCTGATTCAATATCATTTATAATTCAGATAGATAATATTTTTAATTTAAAGGATTTTATATGCGTATATAAATCAAAGACTATTATTTTTAATGATAAAATGTTATTTTACTTCATGACTCGTTCTCCATGTTTTATTCATACTGTTAAAAAAAAATTCCCTAGCATGATAATATAATTTTTTTTTATATTACTATAATATAGCTTTCTTATTTTACTATAAGAAAATCATTAACAATCCAACTCCAAATACATACGTATTTATACATTATATCCTTATAAATATTATATATTTAATTTTTCTCTTTATTACAATGTGATTATTGTGAGATTGTTCTCTGATTATAAATAAAAATAATTATTTGATAAAAAAATTATTTTTAAATCTATTTAAGAAAATTATTTTCTACTAAATTATAAATAGTGAAATAAATAAAACTTTTATAACTTGAAATCAATTAAAAAAACTTTTCAAATGGAATTGTCACAAAATCCTCAGATTTCTTTTGATGAAAAAACAAAAGGATTTGATTTATCAGCTGGCAAAACATGGATTTATCCAGAAAATTATCCTATCAGAGATTATCAGTTTAATATTGTTCAAGCATGTTTATACAGAAATACATTAGTTTGTTTACCTACTGGTAAATGAAACTATATTTTTTAACATTATATTTAAAACAAAGCAAAAAATTACAAAAAAAAGCAATAATATTTTATTTTTTTATTCTTATTAGGATTAGGAAAAACATTTATTGCTGCAGTTGTAATGTATAATTTTTGGAGATGGTATCCATGGGGGAAAATTATATTTTTAGCACCTACCAAACCATTAGTTGCTCAACAAATTTTTGCATGTCACAATACTATGGGTATACCTAGTGCAGAAACTATTGAACTCACAGGTATACAAATAATTTATGAAGTTTAGAATGTTATTATATTTAAGTATTTGTATTTATTTTATTGTAAAAATACCACATTATAGGAGCAATTAATCTCAAGAAACGAGAAATAGCTTGGTCAAAAAAAAGAATAATATTTGCTACTCCTCAAGTTTTTCACAATGATTTAAACAAAAATATTGTACCTAGTGATTTAATAAAATGTATAGTTATAGATGAAGCTCATAAAGCTTTGGGTAAACACTCTTATTGTGAGGTAACTATTCCATATAAAGATTATTTATATAAGATAATGAAATTATTCATATAGAAACAAAAAAAGTTTTAATATAATTTATATTGTTTATTAAGTTGAATAATAATATATTTTATTTATATTTTTAGTGTATTCGCATATTAAATGAAAAAAATCAAAATTTTAGAGTGCTAGCTCTTTCTGCTACACCAGGCAATAAAATTGATAATGTTCATGAGGTATATTTTGCTATCAAATACATGCAAAAATAATGAATAATTTATATAATTGTATTATAATTTATTGAAATAATTCTATTTAAATATATTTAAATATAGGTATTACAAAATTTATTAATTGCTCATGTAGAATTAAGAGATGAAACTTCTTTGGATATTATACCTTATATTAATAAAAAAAAAGTTGAGATAATTTTAGTACCACTTAATGATAAATTGACAGAATATAAAGAGAAGTATATTTTTATTATGGATCGTCATGTTAAAATTTTACTTCAGTATAATATTCTTCATGGACAAACTGCAAATATCTCAAAAGGAAGAGTAAGTTATTGAATATTTTAGTAAAATATTTAATACTTTAATAGATTTTTAATAGACTTTAGTATTAAATTTAAATTTAATACTTTAGTTTTAAATTTTATTTATAATTATAATAAAAAAATGGAACAAAAAATAATTTAGGTCTTCCATTTATTGAAAGAATTCCAAAAAAAAACAAATAAAACGGGAAACTATGGACAAATTATAAAAACATTAAACATTTTAATGACAATGTATCATGCTTATGAGCTTATGGTTAGAGATGGACTTAGAGCATTTTATAAATTTTATCAAAGTATATATAATTGTTACTTTTTTTTATTTTAATTATAAAAGTCAGACTCAAATAATTTTTATATTATCCTGATAGACCATTCTGATAAATTTTGGATGAATGAAGAACCACAATTACAAATATTGCTTGAAGATGTTAAAGCATATCTTGGCCCATTTCCTGATACAAAAGATTTATGTGAAGAAATTATAATGGAAGTTTGTATAAAGTTATTTATATAATTTTATATAATTCATATTATAAATTATATAAAATTTCTTATTGTTTTAAATATAAAATTCTAATATAAAATTTTATTTCAGATACCCCAAAATCTCATATTTGGACATACGAAATTCGATAAATTGAAAGAACTGCTTATATGTCATTTTAAAAATAATCAAAAAAAAGAAAATAATACAAGAGCTATAGTTTTTGTTGAGGTTTATAATTTTTAATCTTATTATAATTTAACGAAATTTTAATTTTATATGCGACATAATTTTCTTTTTATATAGTATCGAGACATTGTAAGTGAAATTTATATTCTATTATTACAATGCCAACCATTAATAAGACCTCAAATGTTTGTTGGTCAAGCCGGGCAAAAACAAAAGCAACAAATAAAAGCATTAGAGGATTTTAAAAATAATTATGTTAACGTTCTTATATCTACAAGTATAGGTATCTAGTATACATTATATAGTATAGTAATATTAATAATACAATATTAAAAAGTAGTAACATACTTAATGAAAATGCAAAATACATATTTCCAAAATTTTTACATTTCTAATAGGAGAAGAAGGATTGGACGTTGGAGAAGTAGATTTAATAATATGTTTCGATGTATCTCAACATTCACCGACGCGGCTAGTACAAAGAATGGGAAGAACAGGACGAAAACGTGATGGACATATAATTATTCTTGTTACAGATGGAAAAGAGCATGAAGTAATTTAAAATTTAATATTCTATGATATTTTAAAATATTTTATATATTATTTTAATTATATTTTAATATTACAGACGTTAAAATCTACAATAGCTAGAAGAGATTCTTTAAATTATAAAGTATTAAATACGAATAATATTTTCTCTTCACTTTATCAAAACAATCCTCGTATGATTCCCGACATCTTAATTCCAGAATGTTTAAAAATGCATATTAGTATACAACCAAAGACTCCTGTTATAAAATATAAAAAACAGAAAAAGAGAAGCAAATAATAAAGAAAAGAAACATCAACATACCATAAAAAAAAATGGTAATATATGAACATATAATGTTATTTTTTTAATTATAGTATTTTTTATATATTTTTTTCTTTTTTTTTTGCAAAGAATAAATTATATATGTTTTATATGTTTTAGAAACCAATTTAGTATCGAAGAAAGACGGAACTAAATTTTTAATGACGAAATATTTGAAAATTGAAGAAAATAAAGAATCTCCTAAATATAATTCTGGTATTCTTAATTTCGAGGCAATTCAAAATATTAATAATCATAACGCTACAAAATTATCAGATGTGAAAATTCTTTCTTGCGACAATCATGCAGTTGATTTCCTTACAATATGTGCTTTGAAAATTTCTGCAAGAGAAGAAAATATAAAGAATAAATGTAAAATTAATAAATCTTATATACCTAAATCTTCTTTTGTTAAAAATTTTGTGGATTTTACAATACCTGATATTAAAATTCTTGATTGTTTAATTACACTGAACGATATTATTCCTTTTAGTTATGACAAAAATAAATCAAATAATGATAATAAAAATGATTGTAATGATTGGAACAATTCACATAACGATGAACATATAGTTAAAAATAAAATAACATTAACAGAGATTGTTGACAAGCAACAAGAATCATCTTCCAAGTTTGAAGATTTACTTGATGATAGTAATAAATCAAATGAAACTGACTTAACGGATAATGAGGAAAAAAAACTAGAGAATAGCATTATGCATTCTACTTGTTCTTCTTCAAGTGTTTCCAAGCAATATATAAAAAGCAATCTGTTAGAATTAGTCGAAGCAAGAAATACAAATAATATATTACAAAGTTCAATATCTGACAAATTTGAAGATATATTGAATGAAATATCTGATGATTCTGAAACTAATCATGCTGAAAATTTTGAACAAAGTTGGATAAAAAATATTGACATTAAAAACGATGAACAAATAAAAAATTCTTCTAATATTATGCAATTAGATAATAATTTTAAGTTAAAAAATGATTTACAAAAAGAATTAAAATAAATAATTTTTCTTCAATTCCGATAGATCAAAACAAACATAATTTTGAATATTTTGAAGATTTAAGTAGAACTACTAATACACCAAAATTTATTGAATTTGAAGATGAATATACTTTTAATGAAAAACAAACAATTGATGAACTAGCTCGATTAAATTCAAATTCAATCCTTTCAAAGATCAGCGAATCAGAAGACGATATATTTCAAGACAAAAGTTTTTTGTTACAAATCGATAATCAATCAA